GTCAGTCAGTCAGTCAGTCAGTCAGTCAGTCAGTCAGTCAGTCAGTCAGTCAGTCAGTCAGTCAGTCGACACATACCACAAGTAATCGTCTGCAGCATCTTTGGTAGGTAGCAGCTATTTCGCTTTTCTTTCCAGATGCATTCACGGAACGTCTCCAGATCGTCGCAGCTATGATTTTTTAGTTTGGAGAATCAGCGGTTGTGACTCGAGGCTTTCTCCTGTACCTGATCTCCCGACTCTGTTGAGACGTTTGAATCCAGCGATTCGTTTCAGAAACCCAAGTGAATGGCTCTTAAATGAATGGAATAAAAGAATGAAAAAGTCATTATGTATTTCTAAATATGTGGATTTTGAATTGCGCAATTTTCCTGGCGCAAATCACCGTATAACGAACAGTGGGTGCATTCAGGAAGTTTTGATTAAATTCTACATACTCTTTGGACACGGATTCGTTTGAATCCTGGATAAGTTCATACCCTTTAGCTCGAAAACTTAAAAATTCGGATGTCAGTTTTTTTGTTGATATTGCTTGCGAATCAGCGACACAGATCAATCATATGGTTGATGACATTTTTTATTTAATACCAATTAAAATTACATGATTAAGATTAAAAATGTGGTTCTGTTTTTTCTCTTCTATGCCAGTTGTTCTTTTCCCGTTTGAAATCAGTTTAATTTGAACGAATTCTGTAAACGAAAAGTTTCACAAACGCATCTTAATTTTCGATAAAAATTTCTAAAATTTAATTATTTAGAAATACGTATGATGGATTTGTGACAATTCGTTTAATAGAAACTCCTCAATCTAATATCCTGTAAATTTTAAATTATATTCTACACCTGCCATTTATTAACTGCTGCTTCTGTTTCTATTGTTAAAGCGACGTGTTTAGAAACTCAACAAAGTTCGACTGTGTTGCGAAGCCGTGCTGCTGGATCCGACTTTCCTAGCCCGTGTTTTGGCATTTTTATCCATTCAGATGAACTTCTTGATGAATGTTCTTTATACTGCTCCGTCAGTACTGGATACTGTATTTCAGTCAGCATACTAATGCGTTGATTTCAGAATGCATGAAATATATTTCGATGATTCGCCGGACATCTTCAAAGCGTTTCCGGAGTATTTTATCGAAGACGTTGTGGACGCTCTGTTTTTCGTTATAGAGTAAGCATGAACTATTGAATTACTAATTAACCGAAAGTATCTTTTGAAGTGTAGAGTACTGAGAAAGCTCCTTCTGTAAAGTGCCTTCCTGTGGCGACGAGTTTGTGAGTCAGGCTCATGTGGCTATTGGATACATGCGTTTTCGTTGTAAACATAATTCCGTTCAGTCGATGTGCGCGGCTTCCTTGCTTTTAAAAACATACGGGGGCCATTTTGCAGGCCATGTCTTCATGATACTTCAGAACTTTCAGCACTTATCTCGAATGATTTTTGCTACTTAGTTCAGGGTTGACTGGTTGTTGCTTAAGCTTTTTACGTAGTTCAAGAATCTGAATGCTTTAATGGATCATTTAGATACTATTTGTCAGTGGAAATCCGGGTTTACCTATGAAATTTGATTTTCATTTTCACTTATGGCGATGAGCATAATCTATACGCTTCATTTTCCCGGATATACTAGGCTTAATCGCTTGCTCATGTTTTAACTGCTTCTAGCTACAGAAGGGACGTTTTCAGCAGGCCACGGCTCCATGACGTTATAGCACCTGCACTGCATAGGTGCATAACCAACATCATACCGCTGAAGATAACATAATTTTATGCTGAAGAATATGCATAAATATGACTCAATTGAAACTTGGCTTTATCAGTAGAAGTTATGTTTATCTACTATTTTCATCGGCGGTAGTGCAAACTAAGTTCTGTGGTAAAATCGAGATTTCTACTAGGTAGTTATATAAAGAGCATTTATTGGTTGAAATTAATTTCTAGAGGCAATACGTTGTAACCTTTGCATACCGACCCCCAGCATTTTATTTATGTACGCAAAACGTTTGTAAAGTTATCGATATAATGGTAAAAATTACAATATCAGCAAGGAGAAACAGTTCATTAGTGGTCAGGATTGATTGATTGATGCTAATTCAACTATCACTTTGTACTTCACGATTCGCATCAGGAGACAAAGAGCATTAAAAATTTACAATATGCTTCGGTTATACACAAACCAGCATGAAATGGTTCCTAATAACCTCCATACTGGAGCGGCGTCCAACAGAATTCCTGTGTAGTGATGATTAGGGTCCACGAAGTTCCCAGTGGTGGTGACAGCTTTAGCTGTCCCAGTTACCAAAACTTCTAGGTTTAATCCGCTCTTGTGGAATTGAACGGCCTGAACTATCATCTGATGTGACCGTTGGAATACGTAATGACCACGTGGGCTAACCAAACCCTCTCCCAAGCACTGGGAGAGGGAAGGCAAAAGATAGGGGTAGTCAAATGCCTCGTCATCTAATTAGTGACGAGGCATTTGGCTACCGACGATCCTAGTCGTAGCGCA